GGGGGGGGGGAAGCAGCAATACCAAACCCCACCCATCCATAATGCTGCCTTATCAAGTACACAAGAGTTTCCCCACATCACACTCTTAACAACATTTTCTGCTTGCCTGTGTTAGTCTGTTTTTCTGGTAGGTGTTAACTACTTTTAATATCAGTAAGACACTGTAAACACTGTAACACAATTACCTTTTCCTTCTGCATCAAGGTATTACTCTGACAGTTTATAATTACCTCTGACTGATACTCACGCTTCCACCAAAAAAGGTCAAACACAGTGAAGGTACTATTTGTGTTCATTAAAACATCCTGACAGTGCTCCAATGTATTTTCAGTTGCAAAAAACTCCAATCATTTTCTCAATTCTGTCTTGTATTTACCATATGAGTTTAGGAAAATAGTATTGTTTTCCAAATATTTTATTTCTTTCACTTCTCCTTTCCTTTTTCTCTCCCTGATATACATTAGCTTCTCAGATAATAAAAATGAGAGGTTAGATATTCTGCTTATGCTAGGTGACAAAAAAAAAATAAATCTTCCCAGTTAGCAGCCTTCCTTGTTCTTTTCCTTCTACTTGAAGTCTTTCCATTGTTACAGAAGATCTTATTTAGCGATTGGTGGAGTCAGCACAGAACTATCATTTGGGTCAAAAATCTGGAAGAAAGTTGACAATAATCCATTTTTCCATCTTCATCGTTGCATAAATCCTGGAAGAAGGTCCAGAAGTTATCAAGCTTCACATTCATCCAGGTGCTTCTGATATGCAGAGGATATTTGCAACCCCAGGTTTCACCATCAGCTCTTAAACTGACACACTTGGCACTCAATAGGCCGGTACTGATACACATTCACTCTATCTTAATTGAAAGATTTAGTTCAAAAAAGAAACAGCCCAACAAATCAAAAGCAATGTTTTCATCTAGAGAACCAAGAGCAACTGGACAAAGATGACCTGTTAGTAAGACTTGCACTGTAACAAATGGAAAGGTATGGTATTTCCCCTCCCAGCGCAAATATATCATCCTTAGTTCCTGCTCTGGAGAGCTCACAATCTAGAGGACACAGCACAATACAGAGGCAATAAATAGTGACATACAGGTAAAGATGAAAGGGGGAAAGAAAAAAAACATATCAAAATAGCATTGTATCCTTCTAAGGCTTGTATATTGCACAGTTGGTGTTTTCCATTTAAAAAAACAACAAACATATAATAATTTTTATGACAATGAGATAGGAGTCCTCAGTCAGCAGGAGAACCCTGTTCAGCTGGCTCACAAATACATCTTAAAAAAACAACCCTGCCTTAGGAGCTTCCAGCTTAAATAGAAAAGACAGACAAAGGATATAAAACAGAGGCACAGAAAGGTCTGAGTTTCTCTGGTCAGCTACCTAGCAGGAACAGACCCACAAAACACTTTCTTACTCACAAAAATACTGCTCATCTTATTTCAGTCAGTGGGAGTTGACACCACCCTACAGAAAGACTTAAATGAGGAACAAAAAATTAATAGTCACAAGACAGAAAGGAAAATAAAGTAGAGCTCAGACACAAACAGACAGAATTCCAAAAAAAAGGTGGTTGAGAGAAAGGAGGGAAAATATACTCATTACTGAGGAACATAATGAGTTTGAAAGGTTGACTGCAGTGAACTGGTGGAAGAGAGAACATTACAGGAGAAAGAGGGAAGAATTTATCTATGAAAAGCTGAAATCCAAGAGCACTAGCTTGAAATGGATTCAGAGATAAAAAAGAAAGCCAGTGGAGAAAGGGAAAACAAAGAACAAACTAAAACAAAGGATGGGGCAATATTTACTCATCCAAATGGTTGGGATTTTTTCACTTATTTTAATTGTGATTTGCCAAAATGAGTGAAAAAATGTAGTGTGTAATTGATCTAAATATCTTGGCATACAAAATTTGTCACGAAGCTGAACCCAACCAAAACACAACCACCCACAAACCAAAATACTTTTCAAAGCAACACCATCCAAACAACTTCAAAAAACACAGCAGTATTCCTTCTTATTCAAGAAAACTGAATGAAAATAAACTTGGTGTGAAGTTGCAAGAGCTATTTCATTAGGCAAAAAATGGTTAACTGTATCCTGATCATCTTCCCACCTCCAGGGGTTGTGGGAAGAGATATTCGTAGTGATGTAAAGTTGTAGAGCTGTCATTGTTATCAGTGTTGGTTTTTTTTTTCCATGCACTGAGTGTTGGATACTTGAGTAAACAAAAGATTAATGGTCAACTCTTGAACAACATGGCATGGCTGCACTGAGCCTTTAAAGGAACCTGATTAAGCATGCAGAGTTCTTACCAAAAAGCTTCAATAAACTACTCTGCAGTGCTGTTAGTGCCCTTGAATAACTTATGAAATAGCTTTATATCCCAGAGATACTATGAAGCATATTCTAGAATTTGACAGGTTTTGTGCACAAACCCACGCAAACTTCTTGGTTGAGCTGATCTTAGTAATTTAAATCCCTTCAGACTTCAAGATCCTAGAACAATCTGAACCATTTTTCAAAAGCTAGTATAAATGGGAAGAACTTCTTGCTCACTTCTTCCCGTTCACTAAACTCTTTGCATACATCAGTCAGCCTTAAAAAATACTTCCCTGTTTGCCCAGCTACATGAGAAACCAAACTAGCATGAGCAATCAAACTGTTTTCAGATTTAAAAATAGAAAAGGCTAAAATGTCCTATTCCTTTCCATATATACCACTTATTTTTAAAAAAAAAAAAAAAAAAAAATCACTTTCTCATCCTGGATGATGGTTTTGATTAACTGCGTACTTCTTACCAGCCCTTCACTTGGCTTGATGTTTGTAAGCTGAATCACTTCAAGGTGAGCAGACTGGGAAACCAGTGGATCAGAAGAGAGTGAGATAATGTGATCACAGACGCCAGAGAGAGTTTTACACTAGGAAGGAAAAAAGAAAATAAAAGGTCACAGTAAGCATAGCATTGATAACTACACGCATTTCAACTTACAAATTAAAGAACTGCATTTTAAAAGTACATATTAAATCACACTGCAGACTCTACAAGGCAGAGAGAATGAAGGAAGAGGGAGAAAGGCCTCAGTAGCATAGTAAAAAATTCAATGTTGTGATGACCCTAACACAGCACCAGACCAGGGGAGAACAGGAGGCAAATTCTTTTGCATCTGAATAGAGAGAAAAAGAGACTGCATGAGCTACTCCCACCATGTGTTCTCACAGTTAGGTGCTCTGCCTCTGAGCTGTGCTCGGGCATGCAGGGAGCCAGTGGTGAGCTCCTTCTCTGCCTACATCTTCTGCAAAGACATTAAGTACCCCCAAACCCCACTCACTTCCATTAAACCTGCAGATGTTCAGCACAGATTAAAATCAGGCTCTTAACGATGATGGGTAACTCCCATTAGCTCTGAAGTTTTCTCTATAGTAATAAAACATGCTAATTGACTTTGGGCTGAGCTTCACATGTTCTACTGCTGCCAAGTGTTATTTACTATTGCAGGCATGAAGATTACAATAAATAACCACTTCATGATGAGATAGTTCTTAAATTTGTTATCCTTGGCAGCCTCTTTCCAGCAGAAAGAAATAAAAGTTTCTAAAAAGGCTGGGACTGTCAAATGGGTGCTATGTATCTCCTCATGCCTCATTTCCTGAACACTCAGAAGCAGGGAAGCTGTGTTTTTTTTTTCCCCCATCATTCTCTCATATTTCTGTAAGCAAATGATTTTTAAAAGTTTCAATATTTTCCGTGAAGTCCCCTTTCAGCAACTTAAACTGATTTCTTGGTTCAGGTTTCCAAATGTGTGTTTTGTCAGCACATTCAGGGATTAGGATATTCTTCTGGTCCCAAAACTGTGAGTACCTCCAAAACCAATTAGGAACAAGCTTAACTGCTCTCAAATTCAAAAGACGAAAGCTAACCAGTCTCCTCAACTGACTGAAACACAACTGCACACAACTGCTGTACTAACCAGTCTTCCAAGATTGCAAAGCATACTTCTTGAATACCTAAAATATCTACAATAATGCTATGGAAGAATAATATAAAACTGGATATAAACTCCTTGTGAAATCACCATTATAATTCCAAATGCCTAACTACAAATATCTTATGTAAAAAGGAAAGTAAAATGACTGAAGTTGTAAGACCACAAAAAGCCAGTGACAGTGAATTCTTAATCCTGTTACAGAAATTGGGATTTTCTCTTCTTTGAATTATTTACAAACATTTGGAAGTTTAGGTTTGTATATAGATGGTTTATTTCATTCAATGATAATGTTTCAGAATGAACAAATTAATCAGAATCAAACTGAAAATATATCAGAATTTTTATTACCAACATGACCTTCTTCCAAAGATATTACCTTCAAGCATAGACACACACCCACCCATTCTGCTTTATCTGTATCTCATGATGCAGAACCATTACTGGAAAAAGGAAGTAAAAAATATATAAAATGGGGTTAAGAATGCTTTCTGCTTTACCTGAATAAGGCAGAAGTGAAAAAGTGAATTTTATTACAAAACATTTTAATGGCTTTTTAGATACATGAAAATTGCTTTGAGCTGACATTATAAGAAAGTAAAAATGACATAAAATTCCATCATAAAAATGAAAGCTTAGATTTCCTGCTTCTTCAGGTTTTTAAATACAGTGCTGGCATGTTATTTGTATTTTAGTATTTCTTGTAACTCCACAGAGAATTATTGAAAAATTACTTTTAGAAAATTACAGAACAGTCAGCTCTCCAAATGCAAAGTGAAGAGATCAACATTATAAATCATTCTTTGGTGATGAAAAGTGAATCTTAAGACTTGCATTCACCCACATAGTCTTCCTATTAATCTCATTTTAAAACTACTACATTTACGGTGCCCTTAGCAGTTGCAGAGAAATTTCTACTTACAATGTATTAATGTATGATTTTTTTTATTTTTTTTTTCTCTTCTTCCCAACTGTTGCATTGCAGGGAGATGCCAAAATGCCCAGAAAAGGAAGATTCTTACCACCTAACACAAAGTATGCCATTTCAAGTTCACAGACGTGGGTCTTGATTAAAAAAAAAAAAAAAAAAAAGAGTCCTTGGCTGCCTTGACAGACCATGGGGAAAGGAGAGGAGAGAAGCAAGTCCAGGATGCGGCACAGAACAGAAGCCTAAGCTGAGATGCTCCCTGGAGCAGCTGCTCTCCTTCTGCTTTTCCATGAGAGAGCTACAAACAGTGTATATAGTAAGCCTATGGAGATCATAATTCCAATATGGTTATATTGATTGCAACCCTAAAACAAATTGGTGTGAATATTCCCCATGAGGAGCTCTGGGAATACTGGATGCCAAAATCACAAAGTTACCATGATAAACAAAAAATCTGCCATATGTTTCTATGCATTTCTAAAAGATTATTGTCTTTCTGCTCTTCTGGCTTTCTTTCCATCTAACATATTCATATGTTGTGGTATCATGCCTACCCTAAGCACTAAAAAAGCTGCAACAAAGTCACCAGAGAAGACCCTATGATCAGAGGATGCTCTTCCAGATTAGGGCTTCAAAGTCTATGACCTTTCTAAAATGAAAAGATTCCTTCAACATGTGGGGATGCATATACGCAGGGGAAAAACTCTGTAAAATCTTTTCCATTTCATAAGTACTCAGATCTCACCAGGGTGAAGACAGAAGCTGACGACAGAGAACTCTTAAAGCTCCATTTAAAGTTATCAGGTTTATTACCATGTGTTAGTATCAAAGGTGACTGGAAACAGCAAAAGTAAACTGAAGGTACAGAAAACACATAGAAGTTCTTGAATTACTTCTCTCAGTTCCTGACTAACAGAATTAGCTCTTCTTCTTCCAATAGAGCAGCAGTGGATCTGAGTGTTTCAGTAAAACAACATACCATGAATTAACTGCAGTCACTCTAGATAATAAGACCTAATCACAACATCGTCTGCTTAGTAATTAAGGAATAGTTCTCTCCAATAAACTAATTTCATTAAAACGTGTTTTACTTTGCTTATGAGAACTGTCCTTTCCTTTGGAGGATATTTTTCTGTAGGAGCATTTTGAATTTAAGACTCACTGCTATTGCATGGCAAGCTGGCATATTCACATTGCCAGCACTTCCAAGGAATGATTAGCTAATTTGGTTTTAATTAAACTGCTCATTTAATTTCAGAATAATATGCATTTTATTTCAGTGTTCTTGTTCAAGAATAATGTCAAGACAAAGAAAATTGTTTTAGAAAATGGACTTAGGATCTGTCCAACCATCTAAAAGTTGGAAGTATCTAACAACTTTCATTTTCTTCTGAAAGAAGCCTTGTTTGTACTAGAATACTTAGTGAATCTTACAAGCTTCCCTTAACTATTATAAATTCAAATAATTTTGGTTACATACTACTTGGTTAAAGAGTTGGATTTTAAGTAGGATCAGGCACCTATTGGCTTGTCTGAACACTTAGGTTGCCAAGAGCCAGGACAGGAAGAGGCCCACTCTTACATAGCATGTACCCTTGCCCTGCTGCCAAGACAAGGCACATGAGCTCCCACTGGAAACAAATCCAGGGCAAAATAATGCATTTTTCCTTGCTTTTACTCTCAAAAATATCTCATTGGTTGTTTGTGGGTTTTATTCTTGTGTGTGTGTATTTGTGGAGGATGGGGGAAGGAAGAAGAAAGAAATTTAGTCCCAGGAATATATGGGAGCTTGGATGGCTCTAGGATACACTCATAGGATACAGCCATGTCAGTTTACAACTGAGTTTAATCAGTGGCTCTGAATATAGTTACCATCCAGCTCCTGCTTAGTTTATTGCTGTTGACTTCACTGGCAAAGGTGTCATAATATACCAGTTAGCATAAACCAGAAGACAAAACAGCCTTTTCACCAGGAGCATACTTTCTCCCCTTTAGGCCTCTTTATGGAAAAATACGTAGGATCTCTTCAGTGGATCAGGACCTTCCACGGCAAAGATGTTGCCATTTGGCACAGAAACAATGTTCATTTAACGAAGGCAACACATGATTGTATTTAGAAAGTTTCCTTTAAAACTGCCTTTGACTTCTCTATGTTCCTTTTCCTAAACAGTTTACATTGTGGCTCATCAGGTTCATTCAATATTCATTCAAGCAACCTCCCCACCTATATCTAAAATTATGTTTGATGCTACTTTATCTCTAGCTTGACTAATTTTCACAAAGCTCCCCAGGCTACACTGGAGCTTTCATGTTTGCAGATGCAAAGCCAATTTGACAAATTATGTTGGTGCAAGAAATATGGAGAGGTTTATTATTATATTATTATAATTTATTAATAAAAAGTTTCTAAATTATTTTATTTGATTAAAAGTAATGGACTGACTTATTTTGCATATAGGCTACTCAATTAATTTGGGTGGAAGAAAAGCACAAAAATAGTGCACTTTTGCTACTCATTTTGTACCAAACAATTTACCAACACATTACTTTTCAGCGTAACTATTCAGCACAAGCTGTATCACAAATGCATATTTTAGTTCCACTAAAATCAGCTGACAGTTTGATTCACCTTTTCTCTCATATGGTAGTTATGTTTTGTTACTTTGTAAAACTACATATCTGTTTAAGAAATTACTGTTAACAGGTTCAGGATCCTTCACCATTTGTAACTATTGATTCCTGACTGCAATGCAGTACTAGCTACAGTAAGACAAACTGAAATACAAGTGTCCAATTGCTCCTACAAAAACCAGCAGGCATTAAAAATGCCCAGCCTTTCTCAATCTGCCCTCAGCTTCCAGCATACAACGTATCTGAACAAAGGGAAAGGATTTGGCCAGGCCAAGAAAAAAAAACCCAAACAAAACACAACAAATTACAAAAGATTAACTGAGACAAATAAACAGATGATTACATTTTCTCCTTTTTTCACACAGTCCCTGTTTTC